ATTTTGTCTTTAAAATAAAAGGGGGGGGGGAATATAGATTAAAAAGACAAAAGCTTGAGAGCTGGACTAGCTGATCTCACATGTTAAACCAGCTCATACTCTGGGCTACTGAATGGCACCTTCAAGCCTCAGGCTGCTGCTAACTCCTGCTTGTAGAGAGAAGCCAGAAGGGAGGCTCACCACCCTCTGCCCCCACTCACACCAGGCATCCTGTCTCTTAGGAAAGCCAGCCATGGGAGCAGGGTGGAGGGGCACATCAGGTCCACATCGCCAAGACAACCCCTCAGTGCACCTGAGGACACCTGGGACATTCTGTGTGCAGTGTGACCAGACAAAGAAACCTTCTGCCCCTGCCTCTAGGGTAACTGCTAATCTGGCATCTTGGCCCAGGGGTCTTCACTCAGTGAGGACACTGCCAGGCCTGAGGGAATGCTCAGATGGTTTTATTTTTTTTACTTTATTTATTTATTTTTCCATGATGGAATGTCCCTCTGTCACCTAGGCTGGAGTACAGTGGCGTGATCTTGGCTCATTGCAACCTCTGCCTCCCAGGTTCAAGCAATTTTCCGGCCTCAGTTTCCCAAGTAGCTGGGACTATAGGCACATGCCACCACGCCCAGCTAACTTTTTGTATTTTTAGTAGAGATGGGGTTTTACCCTGTTAGCCAGGATGGTCTCGATCTCCTGACCTTGTGGTCCACCCACCTTGGCCTCCCAAAGTGCTGGGATTATAGGCATGAGCCACCACGCCTGGCCTCAGATGGTTTTCAATTTGTGTGTGGAAGGAGGGAGGAGAAAGGCTGGGAAACATTTTCAGATGTTAACTTTAATTTCCTCTGTTTTTCCCCTTTCCTTTTCTGTCCATTCAAGAGGAAGCTGACCTATATTCTCCTGCCTTGTGGGAGACAGAAGGCAGAGAGGAAGCAGAATTTGCCTGTGCATTGTTTTGACTTCTGTTTCTCAAAAACCAAGGTCCTTAGAAGATTTTGGAGGGAAACAGACAAGCAGCAGTAGAATGTCTGGGGAAAACATTGGGGGACAAGGAGAAAAACTATCACACAGTTTGTGGGGCCACGTAAAAATACAAATGCAGAATCAAAAATTATTAAGAATTTTTTTTTTTTTGAGACAGAGTCTTGCTCTGTCGCCCAGGCTGGAGTGCAGTGGCATGATCTTGGCTCACTGCAACCTCTGCCTTTCAGGTTCAAACGATTTTCCTGCCTCAGCCTCCTGAGTAGCTGGGGTGACAGGCATGTCCCATGATGCCTGGCTAATTTTTGTATTTTTAGTAGAGATGGGTTTTCACTATGCTGGCCAGGCTGGTCTTGAACTCCTGGGCTCAAGTAATCTGCCTGCCTCGTCCTCCCAAAGTGCTGGGATTGCAGGTGTAAGCCACCGTGCCCGGCCTAGTGTGAATGCATAGGTGGCGCTGGAGAGGAATGTCCCCCATATTTGACAGAAGATTGGTGCTGGAGTTGGGGGCAGAAAAAGAAAGAGGCTGTTCACAGGTTCTGAGGAAATGAGGACCTAGGATTCCCCCCCCCGACCCGCCAATCCCTGGAAGACCCGGTAAAACCCGCCAGAAGGAAAGGTTTGGGGAGTATTTAGACCCTAAGCATAGGGTTCCCAATCTTAGCAGATTTCTGGTTTTTGAATGTGGCTCAGAGGCAACACAAACCTGAAAGGCCCTGTGGACAGGACAATGGGTTCTGTTTACAGAGGAGGAATTGCAGAGCCCCCCGGAACATGCCTGGGTTCTGTACAAAACCCTAAGCCCCTGGAACAGTGCACAGCATGGCAGGAGCGGGTGGAGACATGCTGAATTACTGATGTCACTTTTAAGCCATCATGGGAGAATGAAGGCTTAAAATCAGAGACTGAATCTTTTTGTTTTATAAAAATGAAAGCAACACACATTTCTGACAAATCTGGATTTGTGGACCAGGATTTGACCTGTCACTTCCATCTCTCTTTTTTTTTGGCGGCGGCGGTGGGGGGGTTCTTTTTCTTTTGTTTATTGACCTGTCACTTCCAAGCCCTAGTTCCAGGCTCATCTCCATGGCCAGGCCTCAAGAAAAGTCAGGCAGGAGGCTGACGCAGCGATACAAGTGATAGATGAAGGTGGGACCAGAGTTGTCAGGTGGTAGAGAACCTAGCAACTCTTAGGAGGTGAAATTGACAAGACTTAGAGGGCACTGGAAAGAAAGAGGGAGGTCTGATCACTGGCATAAGCAACTGGCTGGGTGGAGGTGCCATTTACTGACACCAGGAGTAGCAGAGGAGGATGAGTTGAGGGGTTGGTGAGATGGGTTTGGTTCAAACTTGTTCAGTCTAAGATGCCCAAGAGAAGATGCCACACAGGCAACTGAATGCATGATGTGAAGTTTGGAGGAGAAGTTGGGGCTAAAATGTAAACTTTGGAGTCATCAGTTTTGAGGGTGGTTATTCAACAATGAGCATGGATGAGACTCCAAGGAAAATAGTTGAGAAAGAGATGCAAGGGTCTAGGAATAGCCTGAAGATCCCCAACACTAGATGGGCAGGCAGAGGGGATGCACCTATAAAGGCAAGTCAGAGAGGAGGAGGGAGCCGAGAATGCTGCATCGTGGACGGCAAGAGAAATGCAAGGGGAAGTGGGTTGCTGCTGAGAGGTGAAATAAAGTGAGAAACTAAAACTGCGCACTGTATTTAGTAACAAGGAAGTCACTGGTGAAAGAGCCATGTCAGGCCAGGCGTGGTGGCTCATGCCTGTAATCCAAGCACTTTGGAGGCCAAGGCAGGTGGATCACCTGAGGTTGGGAGTTCAAGACCAGCCTGACCAACATGGTGAAACCCCATCTTAAAAAATAAATAAATAAAATTAAATTTAAAAAAACCAAACAAACATCCATGTCATTGGAGAGACAGGCTTGCAATTCCCAAAGGAGAGACTGGGAGAGTTGAGCAGGAGATAAAAGAATGGAGATGGAGAGCCAGTTATGTTTGGCTGTGAAGAGGAGAGGGAAAGGCTATTGCTATAAGGAGAAGTGGGATTGAGGAAAATCAACTAAAGATGATTAAAGTTTTGTTTGTTTGTTTTTTTTTTTTTTTGCATTTTAGCAGCTTTGCTGAGGTATAACTAACATACTGTAAGCTGTACATGTTTAAAGTGTAACAACTTGAAAAGCTTTGATATATAAATATACCCGTAAAACCATCACTATAATCAGGAATACACACACACACACGTGCACACGCGCACACACACACACACACACACACACACACACACACACATATATATATAATTTCTTTTTGAGACAGGGTCTCACTCTGTCACTGAGGCTGGAGTGCAATGGCATGACAAGGCTCACTGCAGCCTTGACCTCCCAGACTCAAGCAGTCCTCCCGCTGCCCACCCCCACCAACCCAAGTAGCTAGAACTACAGGTGCACACCACCATGCCTAGCTAACTTTTTTTTTTTTTTTTCGAAACAGAGTCTCACTCTGTCACCCAGACTGGAGTGCAGTGGTGCAATATTGGCCTACGGCAACCTCTGCCTCCCAGGTCCAAGCGATTCTTCTGCCTCAGCGTCTGGAGTAGCTGGGATTACAGGTGCACACCATTACACTTTGCTAATTTTTTTGTATTTTTAGTAGAGGTGGGGTTTTGCCATGTTGGCCAGGCTGGTCTCGATCTCCTGACCTCAGGTGATCCACCTGCCTCGGCCTCCCAAAGTGCTGGTATTACAGGTGTGATACACATCGGGTCAGTTATTTCTTTTTATTGCTGAGTGGTTTTCTATTGTGTGGCTACACCATAGTTTGTTTATACACTCACCTGTTGATGAACATTCAAGCTATTTCTGGTTTGAGACTATTACAATTTAAGCTGCTTTGAACATTAATGTACAAATCTTCATATGAACACATGCCTTTTATCCTCTGCATTAGATAACTAGGTGTAGAATAGCTGGATGTAATTTTTAAGAAACTGTCAAACATTTTTCCAAAGTCATTGCACCATTTTACATTCCATTCAGCAGTGCATGAGGGTTCCAGTGTCTCCACATCCTTGCTAACACTTGCATGGACAAGCTTCTCAATCTTAGACATTCTAGTAGCCTCTCCTTCTTTTTCTGTCCCTATCCCATTTGGGGTGGGGACAAGAAGTAAGGAAATGGCCACATGTAGGAGGGCAGAGGGAAAAGGGGAGAGAGACAAGGCAGATAGACTGTAGGCCATCAACACTCTGTTGATCAAGAGTGAAATGTTTTTCTCTCTTCATTAAAAGTCTGTTCCCTGGGGACGAGCCCAGTCACTAGCAAATGTTATTTTTTTATGGATCATCTGGTCAACATGTTAGTTTATTGCCTCCCAAGCCAGAGACCCAAGCATGGGGCAGGATTCCTACAGGGACCTTGGCTTTGGGAGGCTCCTCTACAGTCACTGTAGAGCAGGAACCTGGGGAAGGGAGGGTAAGGAGGTTCATTCCCCACCCCTGGGATACTGGTTTGGCTCATACCTGATATAGCAAGAAAAGACAAGATAATAGCATTTCTCTGCCCTCTGGGAGAAGATGCACTGGCAGGGGGAGGGAGAAGGGAAGTTTCTATACCAGGCATGCACTTATTCCACTTGTGAAAAGAGCAGCTTATCCTGCTGAGGACTCTGTCCTGTTCAGCCATATGAGATATGTGTCCCTTCTATGAACAAGAGTGTCAATGTGTAAGGAGTGAGGAGGACTAAATCATATTGAGAGCCTTCAGTAAATTCCCTGTTAAAACTATCGATTTTAATGTTTGAGGCCAAGGGTTTGAGACCAGCAACATAGTGAGACCCTGTCTCTACAAAATACATACATACATAAATAAAATAACAATTTTAGTCGAAGCTAAGCCCACATCTAAAGTTGGATATACATACCAAGAGCACATGCGGGCCAATTATGATGCTGAATTTTGGGAACCAAGCACTTACACCCCTAATTTGAAAGTTAAAAACAATGCAGATTACAATACCTGTAGCCGCTGGGAAGAAAACCCCAAAGACAGTGAAAAAAGACTCCCTGGGGCTGTAATCAGGCAGCGAGTTGTTCTGTAGCAGTTCGGGTGAATATCCAATAAAACCATTTTCTGAAATAATGCAAGGGAGAGCAACATTAGCCCAATGAGAAGACATAGCACACATTACCCTAGATTACAGTCCTATTTCATATATCACTTTAAATATTGGAAAGGTGGGGGCATGTACGTGGCACAGGGACAGAGAAAGTCTGCAGAACTGTCTTCCCTCTCACTTCTAGGGCTGACTTTTATGGGAAGTAGAAAAGTTCCTCTTTAAAGTTTCATAAGTGTTATAAATAATAATTTGTTGTAAAGACTTTCTTCAAAGCCTTCTTGCTTTTTGCTAAGCCCTTGTTAAGCCCTATCCTATGTAGCTGTTAGACATGCTTACAGGCACATAGTACTTTCTATGTCCTTGTACTTTAACCAAGATATCTGTGCTGCACATGCTCACAGGCATGTCCCAGCTTGCAGCCTATGCCCCTTCCTTATTTGCACTTCCTTTTTGTTCTCCATTGCTTTTTACATTCTTAGAAAAGTTTTAAGTTGTTAGCCAATCAGGTTTTAGTTTAGATTGTGAGGTCTGGCTCCAACCAATGGAGATCAGACACAGCAGTAAGGACAACCCCAAATGTGTAAAGGAAAAATATGTTGCTTTTCCTTTGTTCATTGTACTCTCATAGCAAGATGTCTGGCAAAGGTACCCTTCCTGCAGGAAATAAAAATTGCCTTGCTGAGAGTTCCTTTGTCTCAGTGCTAATTTTTCTTTGCAGCACTGAGCATCTGATTCCAACAACTTTTGTGTGCTGATCCCATAGATACAGGTGGATGAAATAACATGAAAGGAAGCAGTGGTTACCTCTGGGAAGGGAAGCATTTTCATCTTCTCCTTCATAGCCTTTAATATAGCAGAAATGTCTTTCAATTAGCATGTATTTATATGCTTGTTTTCCACTTAAAAAGTTAATCCATATTTGCAAGTTACTTCCCTACTCAAAAACCTTCCATGAGTCCCTAATAGCTACAGAATCAAGTCCAAACTCCTATCAAAGCCTCCACAACCTGCCAACAGCCACCACTCCCTACTTATCCCTTGCCTTTTCTCCTCCCCAGCAGCCCCACTCTGAAGAACGCTACCCACATGCATCCCTGTGCCTTCCTTAGGTAGTCTCCTGGCCTTCCAGAATCTTCTCCCACATCTCTAAGCATTGTAGAGGGCCAACTCTTCAAGTTCAGCTCACATGATGCTCCTTTGGGCTTTATAAGCACTCCCTAATCAGAATCTATTCCTCCTTCCTCACTGCTCTTGGCACTAGGTCTGGCCACAGTAGGGCTTTCCCCAACTAGACTCCTTGAGGCGTGAAATCCAGGTCTACAGGTCTCTATCCTCTAGAGCCAAGCACTGCAATGGTGCATAGTAGGTAGGTTGCAAACATGGGTCACGCCGAAAAGAACCTTTCTCTTAGATCTCTCAGCCTATAAGCACATCTTGCTTCCAGACTTTCAATTTGACTTGTTCACAGACGACTTTATAGCAGGAACATCTCAGATCTCATTTCTTCAAAGCATTTTAAACATTTTTGTACATCAACTTTAACAAAGTTTTTTCAAGTGGTTTCAACCCTGCAGGAACATTGCTTCTTTGTCAAAGGAGGTCACTTTGAACAGCATCTGTGAACGTGCTAAAGGGCTATGGAATTTTAAGACACAAGTCAAGTGTTCTTGGTTTCAGGAACACCCAGGATTTTCAGCCTCTGCATTTGAATCTCGTCTCTGAGAAGGAGTTGGTTTGTTCCTATTAACTGTCGTCCAAGAAAAGCCAATCCCTGCTCCTTTTCCCTCAACTCCTGTAGTCCCATAGGATGGGTATTCAGCCATCACTCCCTCACCAATGCTAGGGTTTCGGTGACAGAATTTCCCACAAGCCTCATCCTCCACCCACTCAAAGTGTAATTACAGCCCAGCTTCCATCCACAAAAGAAGGCTCCTGCTACTCTGATGAGTCCAGTGAGGTCGCCCGCACTTCACACGACTTCCAAGATTCATAACTTCATAAGAAAAATATTTTTAAAAATAATAATAAAATGAAAGCTCAGAGAAGCACAAGGGACCCTTGGGAGTCCAGTTAGGACTTAAATCATTGTCAATTGCTTTATTTTGCCTGAACACAGAATTTTTTCTGGCATATTAAATCCCAAGTACTGTACAAGTTTTCTGAATGGTTTGGCTTCTTCACAGCTGGCCCTCCCCTCATTAACAAAAAAGCAATAATAGCTAAGTTAACTTTAGCTTATCCGCTGGCTGACCTCACCGATGAGTCTTAAGGAGGAGAAAACCAGCCCAGCCTGCCTTGGAGCTGAGCTCAGCCAAGCTGGACTGATGTGCAGGTCGCAAAGCAGATTTGAGTGGAGGGCTGTGCGTGGCTGGCAGGCCCGCCTCGAAGGACATAAAACACTTCATCAGGCACACTCATCTTCGAGGGCCCAAGGGCGGCCCTAACACAGGGGAATATTTGATCACCAGGCCTGAAGGGCTTTGCCCTGGCCAGCCTAAAGGTTCAGAGGGATTTCAGGCCCAATAGATGAGTCACTGGGAAGCCTTTCATCTGCCTGTCCCCTCAACAAGACCCACAGGCTGAGAGAATGAGTCACTTGGCTCCCTCGTGGGCCTGCCTCAGTTGCCCTCTCTTGCAGGGCAAACAAGAAATGGAACTCTGCCACACTCACAAGTGCACACTCACACTCACGCTAACACTACTACTGGCCCAGCCTGCTCTGGACAGGAGCCAAGCCCTGTTCTGAATCTTCTTCAAGGAAATAATCTTAACTTTGCAAAGAACCCTGGACAAAAATATGTGTTGATGCTTTGTTTACAATAATTTAAACTCAGGGGAGGGGCCAGGTGCTGTGGCTCATGCCTGTAATCCCAGCACTTTGGGAGGCTGAGGCAAGTGGATCACTTGAGGTCAGGAGTGACCAACCTGGCCAAAAGGTGACACCCCATCTCTACTAAAAATACAAAAATTAGCCAGGTGTGGTGGGGCATGCCTGTAGCCCCAGCTACTCTGGAGGCGGAGGTGAGAGGATTGCTTAAACCTGGGAGGTGGAGGTTGCACCATTGCAGTCAAACAGCCAAGACTACCACTGCAGACCAGCCTGGGTGTTAGAGCAAGACCCCATCTCAATTTTTAAAAATTTAAAAATAAATTAAAAATTAAAAAATCAGGAGAGGTTCTAAATGTCTAATTATGGAGGACTGAGACATTTTAAATGCTTATAAAAAGTTTTTACTATGAGAGAAAACTGTCCATGTTATATATGATATATGTTAATTCAGAAAACTGGATACCATTTATAGTATAAATACAAAAAACATGAATTAATCTATATATGTAAGAAACGGCTTACATGTATAGAAGAAAATACACACAAAAATACTAATTGTGGTTGTTTGTATAATGCAATTACAGGCAATTATTTTCCCTTCTTTTTTTTTGTTTCTGCAAAACATCCACATTTAAGCTAATGGGTCGAGTGCAGTGGCTCAGTCTGCAATCTCAGTGCTTTGGGAGGCTGAGGCAGGAGGATTAGTCAAGCCCAGGAATTTGAGACCAGCCTGGGCAACACAGGAAGACCTCTTCTATATGACACACACACACACCCCATTAGCCAGGCATGGTAGCGTGTACCTGTAGTCCTAGCTACTCAAGAGGCTAGGAGGATCACCTGAGCCCCAGAGGGTCAGGCTGCAGTCAGCTGTGACTGTGTCACTGCACTCCAGCTTGGGTGACAAAATAATTTTTTTAAATGAACATAATCTACTTGCCATAAAAAAAAATCTATTAGGAAAACAAACAAAACATCCCACAATTGAAAGCCCACTTTCTCCAGGCAGCTTTTCTATGTATGAATAGCTTTTCTTTCTTTCCATTTATACTCTGTTTCCCAAAGTGACTTGAGTGGCTTACGAAAAAAATATAAAGAAGATAGGGAAAATGAAATAAGAACCAAAGAAAGAAAGAAACTGAGCAAGAGAGAGGGTGAGAACACCCCCAGTTGTACCTCCATGACCCACAGTCTGAGGCCTTATTCGGAGAGAAAGTTCTGTCTTGACCAAGCCCACTCAGGCAGCCCCACTTGGGACAAGTGGACAAGAAGGAGGCCCCCAAGGCTGGCACAGTGGACCCTGTCTCATTTCCTCTGCCCCTATCTTCCCAGGCCCTTACGTCATGCACCTCACCTATCACCACCCCACCTCAGGGTCCCCAGTCCTGAGCCAATCCCCAAAGAGTCTTGTTCACTGATTCCCATCCTGCCCGCTGGGGCCTGGGTCCCTCTCACACCCCGAACCTGGTGGCTCACCAGACCCGAGGCATGGTTGACTCTCTGTTGGGCTTATGGAGAGTGGGTACCCAGAGGAAGCACTGATATCTCTGACTGGCCAATACTAGCTAGCTAAGCATGGTGTGAGGTCAGCTGGTCACACCCAGGGCTAGGGCTGAGGTCCATGCCACCTGCCATGCCCTCTGACAGTGGCTCTTAATGCCTGACTTGCTGATGCCCAGACCAAAGCTTCCTAATTCTTTTAGTTATGGCCACATTTGAGAGCCTGATGAAAACCATGGTCCCTATCCCCATAGACACCACATTTTGCATACCATTTTGGGAGAGGACAGATTTCTGAAGCCTCTCTGGAGGGCATGGACCATAAGGTTCAAAACTTCTACTGTAGCAGCTACATCTGCACCTGAGACCGTCCTGCCAGGAGGCACACAACTTCCCAAGCCCTGCCTGCCACCATGCCTTGCCTCAGAGTGGACAGCAGCCCTGAGAGTGACGTAGCCAATAATGTTTTCATAGTGCAATCCTTGCCAAACAATGACCAAGACTGTGTGCCCAGAGATTGTGCAGTCACCCCAAGCACACCACTGGGCAACCTCACCTCCGAAAATAATGCTGAGCAGCCACTGACTGAGCCCTTCCTATGTGCCAGCCACCGAGCACCAAGACCTTACAATGTCATACAAGATCCTCATGACTAACTGAGGACACTGAGGCTCCGGAAGGTGA